ACTCTTACTATGACTTTTAAAATGCACACACAAACACGATATGGGTGGGACACATGATGATAACACAAGGGATCATTATTAAGTTCAGAGGGAGAGAGGGAGAGAAAGATAGAGACAGAGAGAAAGAGAGACAGACAGAGAGAGACAGAGGCAGACAGAGACAGAGATAGAGAGAGTAAAAGAAAAGAAAGCATGCCATCACCTAGATTAGTTGTCCACTGCACACACATCATCTATGGCTGTAAGCACGCACTTACACACACACACACACGCACACACACACACCCACACACAAACACACACACACACAAACACACACACACACACAGTATCTCTCGCCAACACACCAAAACCTCACAATACGAACACCACAGCAGAACCCCTGACACACCGACGAACACACTGACAGACAGACAATCAGACAGACATAAAAACAATATTTAAGATCACTTACTTTCAATCAGCTCCACGCGAGAAGAGAGAAGATAAACAAGGCGGCAAGAAGACGAGAACACAGCCGTACGGAAGTACGCGCTACACACAACTACACACACAGACACTGCACACACACACACAATGTTCAGTTTGCGCCGTGTTAGGCCTACGTTTGTACAACACACTATGTGCGCCGTGTGTCGGGGGATTGGAATTGAGGTCAAGGACACTCACTCACTGCATTACAGCCACAGCAGTCTGTGTAGGCTGCAAGAGAGGGCGAAATACTGATGTGTCATTTTGATGGGGAAAGTGGCAGTGCTACTGACTGACGTTTTCTTTAGGCCATTGCCTAAGGGGGGATATTAACATGTCTTCCCGGGAAGCTGAGAATGTTTCGGAGTGTTCTATGGTCTGCTGGGGTAATAATATAGTGTAAAGCGCATAGAGCCTTCTGTTGAGCGGGGATATGCGCTATAAAAATGCTATCTATTATTGTTCTTATGCACAGTAAAATTGTAAATGGGCTGATTTATCAATGTCATGCTCATACTGTGCCGGAAGAACATAGGGGAACTGCTACTTTTTCTTTCCTCCTCCTTATTAGAATCTAAATGCTATCGTCATTTTCCTCTACTTCTTTTGTATTTGTATGTTTGTCACTCTCTTGTGAACTGCTTTTTCCGGCATTTTCCGGGGTGCCTTGATAGTCGAAGCAGACTTTGTGCTGTTGAGGCTAGAGAGGTGAGCAGAGTAAGCCTGATTCCTCGTTTGGACTTCTCGCTGTTGACATCCACCCCTTGGTGCCCATATGACATGACCTTATGCTGTTGCGAGCATCGTAAAACCTTACTAAAACTAAAAGAAGAAGTAAATTGGTGACTGTGGCGGCGGTGTCCATTTCCACTAACCGTTGCGCCATGCATTGTTGTCGCTGTTGAAATCTACACAAACACTTTCAACTGACAACAGCTAGGAAATCGAAAACATGCAGTGTAGGAGCTCTCATTCAAAGGTCCCGTATTCGGATCCGGGTGGTTTTCCTCTCTAACATGGTCTCTTTCACCTCTTTTCCAGCTCTCTAGCAAGGTTCAGTCGTCTGCCGTCTGCTTTCGTCTCCACTTTCTCCCCCCACCCCTCACCCCCTTAGCCCTCCTCCTCTGGGCTCCTGACTCTTTCTGTAGCCTTTCTACTACTACTCCATGGCTCCTTCTTACTGCTGTCTTTCAGCTGCACCCCTGATCTTCTGGTAGGAAAGATCTACACTAGCCCTCTCGGACAAGGGCGAAAAATCTTGGAGGTCCCGTATGCAAGTTGCGCACGTTAAAGATCCCTTGGTGGTCTAAAATCGATACGAGTGGGCTTCGGCGGCCACTAGGGCAAAATGCAAAATCTCCTACCCACTAGATCTATGTTTAATATGTCTCACGCGCTCAGTATGACCCTATGCTGTGGCGAGGGCCGTAAAACACTCCCCCCCCCCCAAAAAAAAAACCCTGAAAAAAAGAACTCAGGCAGTTTGGATCCACGTTGACACGCCAACTTCTGCACCACCACCAATCGTACTTGGGCAACTTATGGGAAGTTGGGGGAATTCCACACCACACTCTTCTATTTGGTGGTAAGACAAGTGTTATAGAAGCTACTTTATGCAGAAAGAGGACACATCCTCCACAACAGTTTTACTTTGGCTCTGATAAGTTAGAAAACGAAAACATAATATGAATTCTATGATATCACCATTCCCATACTTCCATTTCTCAACTTAATTAAAAATGTGATATTGCGGGTGAATTCCACACCCACGGGAGCACACACGCCAAATGAAATGAAAAAGACAGATATATAGGCTACAAAAAATTAAAACTGAATTGACAAATGAAACATGGCTGACAGAAGCAATGATTAAAGCTGAATGTCAAACAGATTTCTGTTGGTTCTAAAGGGCTGTAAGTGGGGATGTGAAATTACCCCGGATGTGGAATTCCCCACACTTTCCCATACCTCCTCTATACATCCCCATTCTTTTCATCTTTACTTTTTATACTTTTACTTTACACATTCCCATTCTTTTCATAGCCAATGTTTATCGCATCGAGTACCTCGGTCTTTCTTCTGGAACGTTGTATCCTTTTCCTGCGGGTTGGCCCTGATAGGCAAGGACAGAAGCCCGCCTCCTAAATGATTTAAATGGTGGCGATAGGGGCGTAAAACACAAACAATAAAAAACCCTCCACACATAATACATTGGTCATGTTTACTCATTAGCACTCTCTCTCTCTCTCTCACTCTCGCTCTCTCTCTCTCTCTCTCTCTCTCTCTCTCTCTCTC